AAGCCAGATAAAGGGATAAGGGATTCCCAAATAATGTCGTGCCCTCGGCTCAGGCAACTCGGGCTGAAACTCGAAAGTTTTTGGCGCCAAATTCGCATGCAAAGCAGGCAGGCCGAAAGAGAGGGCTAGATGCGGATGGAAAGAGAGAGGGAGGGTGGATTGAGTATTCTCTACCCTTTTCCTGGGCTGAATGTTCACCGGGTTCAGGAGGCTTAGGTCGCAGGATAAGTCGCAAACTTGATGCTTTCGGCTAATGTCCTTGGGTGGTCGTCTCTCCTGCTTCTGCTCCTGTCTCTGCTCTTTCATGATGATGATGATGATTTTGTTTTCGCTTGTGGATTATGAAACGCCCAGTTGCATTCGCATTAGTTGCTCTCTCGCCTGGCGATTTTCCTAATTCCCCTAATACCCTTTATGTGCGTAAGTGTGTGTGTGTGTGTTTGTGTGTGGTGTGTATGTGAAAATAGAGTTAAAGTGGAATATTGAATGTGCGGCGGAGAGTTGGGGAAAATTCAATATGAAGTGACAGGAAATAAACGGTTTAGCAGCAGCATTAATTGGCACTCCGGCATTTGTTTGGGCTTTAATGGGATGCCTGTTTAGAGTCTCAAGAAAGTGTGTGTCCTTCAGACGTTGGGCTTATAGCAAATCCCGAATGCAGATGCTGTTGCCAAAACAGGAAAATTGCCGAGTCTTATAATATTCATAATCGAACCCCTGGCAGACCTGGTCCTTGTCTAATTACAAATGGGCTGCCAGCATAATTCCACTTGTGTATTAATAGATATACTAAACACACATATATTTACTCGCACAAAAGCGCTCAAAGTTAATGCAACTGATTTATAGTTTCAGTTCCTGCCACTGCTGCTGCTGCTGCTGTGGCTTCTGTTTAGTATGTGCTTCTGTTTTGATAATCACACGGCACACAGGCACTATTTATTCGATTATAAACCGAAAACGCACAGGGAGCCTTAAGCCGCTCGAATCGAGCTTCAAGTTGCTCGGGGGACGTTGCACGATGCATGCTTGCAAGTTGCATGTGGCCGGAGGGGGCGACGGATGCTATGTGCTCCAGCTCATCTCCCGGTGTGGCAGCTCAGAGAGTTCGATTCGTTCACCTCTCCCAACATTTAAATCCTTAAAATTTGTACTTCTCTTTGTGTGAGGTATAAAGGGACTAACTGGAAGTGGAGGCGCAGGCCACCGAGCAGAAATCCTCCCTGGTAGATGCACCTGAAAAGAGGATCAGGCTGGAAGGATATGCTCGAGAAGGATGTAATGAGATCTAATCAAAACCTTTATAAATATGTTTGCTCAATCTAACAATTTTATGGGTTGAAAGAAAAACTTTTACTTCCATTTGCTAAAATTTCTTTAAAATATTTAATGGATTTTGAGGCATAACCTGTCCTTGTAAGATCTAAATTATATAATATTGTAAAGATATATATTTTTTATATAATTATAAAGTTCCAATGACTAGTAATTAACCTTTACTTTGTAACTAATTGGGGTTGTATCTTTCACTTTAAAAGATATGCTCTGCATTTTGCAGTGCACTCGATGATGGTGGCTTAACTCAATCAGCATCACCTGCAGCACCTGCCTTTAGCTCCTGGCGATGTCCTGGCTAAATGTATTCCAGTTTGTGAGTGTATGTGTGGCTGGTTGGCAACAACCGGCTTTTATCCCGTTGCTGCTGCTGTTGCCGTTCGGGCCAATCCCTTTTTGCTTATAATTCGGAAATGTTGCCTCCTGTTGCTTTTGGCATTTATTCGAATTTGTATCTCAATCTGGGGCTGTATCTGTATCCACATCTGCATCTATGCTCTATGCGCTAGCACATATGCTCGGATGGAGTTTGGAGTTTGGGAGCAGCAGGCATCAGGCAGGGGGCAATGGGTTTTGGGAACCGGCTTAGGTGAGTGGTATCATTCAGCTCGGCACTGGCCACTGTGCATAACGCTTAACACTTAAGCTGCTGCCGCTCAACCACCCACCTGTCGCCCCAGCGGATCCATCGGCCCAGGGCTTAGCCACTCCTCGTACAGGTGAGGGTCGGGTGATTCGGGTGAATGAGGTGAGTCTGAGCAGGAGTCGGAGCTAGTTTTGCGTGTGATTGCGAAACCGGCTGCTCCTTCTCCCGCTCGGAGTATCTCTTATCCTGCAGCAGGAGCTGTGCAATGCTTTTGTGTCACCCGATTACCAGTAGCACTCCGAAAACCCACTCTTTGGCTGTGAGTGAGTGTATCCGGAATCGGAGTTGGAGATGGCTGCTCCTGAAAGTTACTGCTACTGGCTTTGCCGACACTTGTGCGTCCATCAGAGCTTATCGGGGGTTCTTCCGGCCAGCCTTCCAGCTCCAGCCACCATCTCATTATACAATCCCGCCTCATGACATCTGCATAATAGCCGATCGAATGGGTGCCCATTTTTTGAATCCTTGAGCGCGTGCTTATGTCCACAGGACTCTGTAGTCCTGTATGCATGGTGCCGCCTGGCTTATGACACATGCGGATGCATCTGCCGCTGTTGCTCCACTTTCGGTGGCCAAAAGCAACAATGATTCAATAGCAGGGTCAACTCGGTTGGGTTGGGTTTTGGGTTGGGTTGCCTGGCTGTATGGCTGTATGGCTGTTTGGCTGTTTGGCTGTTTCGTTTTCCCGAACGCGTTGATCCACAAACGTGTCGTTAACTAAGGCGCAGTGATTTTCAATTGCAGAACGCGCCGCCTGCATGGGTGTATGTGTTTGCATAGGCTTATAGGTGCCAACAGTGTGGCATCTGCAGGACCAAAAGGGGACACGGGGCAAGGGGCAAGGGGCCAGAGCAGCCTGCATATTGACAAGTGCAACCGGGTGGGGATTTATTAAGGCTAACGTATGAAAATGTTGCATACTAAACTCTGCATAAATCGAAACGCAGCAGAGAGACAGAATCGCAAAAACAGGAACATAAAAATAGCCCCGAAATGGAAAAGCCCAGCTGCCGAGCCGCCTGAGAGAAGTGGGGTGGGCCTGAGAGTGGGTGGTGTGGCAGGATAAATATCGTGTTGCGTCGCTGAGCAGCTTAGGCGCAATAAACACGCACACACACACATAAGCATACACATTCCGAAATATGCACAACAAAACGCATCGAAACAAAACAGATTTACATATGAACCCACACTGCAGCTGTTCGAACGCTGGCAATGGCAATGTTAAATGACAGTAATAACAAAAACAGCAATAACAATGCCAAATGACGGCAACAATAAGCAAAGCAAACGTAGGATGGTCGCAGGATTCGGCATCCATTGGATTCCAATGCCATTCGCATCACATCCCCATCTCCATCCCCATCCCCATTCCTATCCCTTGCCACGTTTTGTTGTGCAAATCCTCAAAATATGCTACAAAGCACATTACACAGATACGCACCCACACACAGTCGCACACACGCATAGACATTTATTCACAAATTCACAGCAACAAAATTCAAATCAAATCCTTTTCGGTGCGTTGCAGTTGGCAGTTGGTTTAAGTTTTTCCGTATATCGTTTCGAAAAGAAAGCTTAAAGTATTTGCCAACCTAAAATATTAACAGTCATATTTATCGCTCAAGTCAATTGTATGGCCAACTATTTGCGAAGGCGAAGCCACAAATTGGCCCTGACACATCCACCGAGCTGCCACCAGACAACAACCTGTTGAGCCATCTGACACACGTGCTCCCCACATCCTGCCAGATTGCGTATACGCAGTGAGTGCCCGAGTGAGTCGAGAGACTGAAGCCAGGACAAACAAAAGCAAGGCACGCTTCCTGGCCTCATGCAGCCACCTGGGGGGATTCACTCCACAAGTGGGTGCTCACTTAGCACCCATCCAGCGAGGCAGCCCGTCCGTCCACTCTCCCTGTCACCACCCACTTTCTAACCAGAAGCGAATGTTTGCTCGCACACACAGACATTCCACAGAGACACAGACACAGGCAGATAGAGATACAGATACAGATACATATACACATCCGCACACAAAATAAACGTTATGAATGCTTCATATGCTTAATCCAGGGGATTTCGATCCATATACGAGTGTGTGTTCCATGGTGTGTCTGTTTCTGTTTCTGTCTCTGATTCTGATTCTGTAGTGAAGGAAATGCCTCGTGCTCGGACTGATATCGTTGGTATGCTAAAGGCTTCACAGTTTCCATTTATATCCGGCAGATACTCGATGTATGCATCCGCAACGAGGTGGCACAGGTTTACTTCTGGCCATGGCTAAACTATTGATGAACCAAACAAGATTACCATGGCCATTGCTCAAGGAACGCATCGCATCCACTTGTCTGTCTATGCGTGTGTGTGTGTATGTGTGTGTATCTCTGTATCTGTGGGATACGTGCTTAATGCCTTGTGAGCAAATCAAATGAACTTTTCATGGATTAGGCCCAGGCCACGTTGAGGCCGAGGAAATGCCTCGGCCATTTCCATTTGCCATTTGCCATCAGCCATCAGCAGCTGGCCTGATTAAAGTCGTGTCTTTAAAGTAGTCCGAGCATTTTCCCCCCTGCCAAGTGCCATCGCTCACACAAGACCCTTTAATTACACACATAATCACGCACTGGATTATGAATAATAGTGAATTCTATTATTTATTTTGCTCCTTCTCTTTGTTATTATTGATTGCGAATCATTTCAATTTAAATTATTTAAACATATCCTCAATCTGCGTAAGGCTTAAAAAAGGAAATGTTTTTTTTTTAAATCACTGAGTCTTTTAATCACTTCTTTAGTTAATGCGTAAAAGGCTCAGGAATTTAAAATTTACTTTACTACAGAGCTAACGTCTAAACTTTAATAGTGGACCTCACATAGTAATCTGATTTTCTTTTTCTTATAAAAATTCATAAAAATCGAATTACTTTTAAGTCAACTATCATCAAACTTAACAGAATGTTATGCCAAAGCTAATCCATAAATTGAAATAACAATAATTAATGTTTCCTTTACTCACGATTCACTTTGCTGACGTCGAACTCCCGTCGCGAGTCCAAGGCCGGATGGCTGAGGAGCTTCTCCGCCTGCTGCTGGGCCTGCTGGACGCCCACGGCCATGCCAAGGGCGGCCGGTGGGAGGCAGGAAATGCTGCCCCGCTCCACTCGCTCCTCCCGATCCCGCTCCCTCTCCCTCTCCCTCTCCCGCTCTCTCTCCCGATCGCTCTTGGGGGTGGCATTCTGACTAGATGAGGCTGTGGAGGAGGAGAGCGCCTGTCCTTCTGAGTTCTGAGTGGGATGGGCAGTTGGTGGTGTGCCATCGGAGGACCTGCGTCCGGCAACTTCGCCACCCACTCCTGCCGCCTGCTGCGACTGCTGCTGATGCTGCTGAAGATGAAGATGGTGTTGCTGCTGTTGCTGTTGCTGCTGCTGTTGCTGCTGGTGATGTTGCTGCTGCATCTGCAACTGAGTAAGCTTCTCCTGGACACCCTGTAACGAGGATCTTCGATGCTGATCCTCACCAGCCACGACCACGCTGTGGGGTGGCGACAATGAGTGCTCCTTCTTGACAGCCAGATCCGCCAGACTGGCTGAGGCGGAGGAGGCGTTCGGGGATTTGGCATTGGCCGCGGCCACAACGGCGGCCGCGTTGGCAGCTCTGGTTAAGGCCAAGGCCTGGCTCTGAAAGAGAATCGAAGAAGAAAAGAGAGAACAATGAGTTAGCTGGGGCCAAGCTTTTCCATTTGTCGTTTGTTTGCCCGGCTAAATGATCCGGTGAAATTTCCACTTCCACTCGAAATAGAAAACAACCCAAATTCGCTTTATTGATTAAGTCAACAATGGCCATGAGAATCGTCTCAGCCCTGACAGGCGTTGATTTCTATTGATTTGTGAGCAACAGCCTCTGCCTCGGCTGAGGGGCAGTGTTTGCTTTCTATAATTTAGCAAGTAATTTGCTGCACAAATCGTGGCGAATCACGAAATTGTCTTTAATGATGCGCAGATCTCGGACTCGAGTCTTGAGACTCGAACTCGAGATCGTTGTCGAAGCGTAACTAAATTAATGTGGCTCTCGTCTCCAGTCCATTAAAGAGCAGAAAGCTCTTTCACAATGCTACACACATGCCCGTTTACCCCTTCGCTGAAGACCGCGTCCAAGTGGTCCCCACAAAGCGGCAATTGATGGCTCCGCTCCGCTCCGCTCCGAAGCGAAATCAGCGACGGCCCTCTGCCCTTGTGCAGAGGGTGACCGAATTCCGAGCTGGTCAGTTAAAGATACTTCATTGGGTTCGCTTTGATTTAGATAGTGAGAAGGCAACTGATGTACTAATCCAGTATCTAATATACTAATAACTAGTTTTACTGGCTCTAACGATATGATGAATTAGATCTTTTAGAGACCCATTTTAGGGTGATATAAAGTCAATCTAGATCTTAAAACCATCTAAGTTCCTTAGAACTTTCTCATCTGCGAACCGGACTGATCTCTCTGGTCATGACCATTTACTTTCCCACTAGCCATCCCGAGTCGACCCAATAATTATAGCGTCTCGCTGTGGCTACCGTTTTTACCGTTTATACTGGCTGAGCACGCATGGAATTCCAGCAGCTTCTAAGGTCCAGGGATTCCATCCAGCCGACTTTTTTTCCCGTTCCCCCATCCCTAACCCATGCGTAGGGATTGGCAAAAAATTATGGCATTGGCATTCGGCTTTTTGGCTTTTTGGCGCTGATCGTGCGGATAAACTTAAATCGAAGCCGAGGCATCGAGATTCTGATCCCGGCCAGGTCGATCGTCGCCCCTGGCTAGTTTGTCAAATGAGGGCATAAAAACAGCGGCAGTCGCTGCCCAAGGAGATCCTTTTGCGAAAACATGTTCGGAAACTTAATGAGAGCAAAGGGAAGGCTGATCCGGCCAAGGGGTTTGGGTTGGGGATGGGGCTTGGGTCCATCGAGGAGCTAAGGATGGAGCTGCAGCGGCGTCTCTGCTTTCCACAGTAGCCGCATCGAGTTAGCGATCAGCGACAAGCAGCAATCGATCTTGTGTTATAATCATCGCCAGCCAACCCCACCTTTTCCTCTTGGCCATCAGCGGCGATTTAGGCCCGCAAAAATTCATTTACGCTTTAATCAATTTCATTCACTATGCAGCAGCAGTGGCTGAAGCAAAGGAAGTGGGGATACACAGAGAGAAAAGTCGTTTGTAAAAAGGTAATCACCCTTTGATGAAAGGTTGAAGATCTCTTAGAAGTGCTACATAGGAAACTTATATTTTGCAAATACCTTTGAATTTCTTACTGATGAACATTTTATTTTGACGATCAGAAATCTATAAAATTTCTCACTGTGCAGCGGAATATGGAAAGGAACCCGCAGACAGAGCAATTTTCGCCTAAGGCCTCCAGCCGACAATTTCAGCTTACATTGATCTCGTCTTGTCCAAGTCCCGCTGCCCGTCCTCCTTTTTGCCCTCTTGCAGAGCTGCTACTTGGCTTCTGTTCCTGGCCACATGTCAAGAAATTGACGAAAATTCGATCAAAATTTTAATTGATCGCCCTGCAGTGATTTGGGTTCCCGAAAAATTGATCTACCCATGGCATCCGCATCTCCGTTGGACCATATATAGTATGTATCCATCCGTATGTATATTCTTCGCGCTTGCACTTGCCGTAATTTTCGGTTTCTTGGCCGATATCGACGGACGACCGACTCGTGTTGTGATTATGTTAATAGAGGTGCTGCCCCTTTGCCCCTTTGCCCCAGCCCCCTCTACGGATTCCTGTTTCCGCATCCCGCCCGAGGGGGAGGACGGCGCTCGCCTCTGCCGGAAACTGCAGTGCCAGCGGGCACAAATTGCGAAATAATCAAACATTTCAAGGGCTGCCACCAAATGCATGGCATTAAGCCTGGCCGAAGAATGCCTGATCCTCTAGAGGCACTGATTGCTGAAGAGCCCACTGAATGAGTCATCATCGAAAGACACGAGTTGGGCTCTTAAGGATAGAAAGGAATCTATAATCTTTATCGGAGTATCTTGAAATATCTCCGTGACATATATCAAATTCCAAGTGAAAGCCCTCAAGTAATCCCGACTCTTTATCGGAGTATCTTGAAATATCTCCGTGACATATATCAAATTCCAAGTGAAAGCCCTCAAGTAATCCCGACTCGATCACACCATCCGCCTATTAATATTACCTATCCAAGGCATTAATCAACCCTGCTCACTCCTGATCTTCCAGACGATCATCCTCGCTGAATGCTAGCAATCAGCCCCCTTCCTTTCCAGCCATCAAGCTGAACATTTTAATATTAACCTGTCAAAGGCCATAATTGACAACGATTAACTTTGTCTTTTGTCTCGCGAAAATTTACATTTTTATGGTTCAATAAAATAAATCAAAGGAGGGGAAAAACCCGAATATGAAGGGGCAGGCAGGCAGCAGGCAGCAGGCAACAGCTTTTGCGAGGCGAAACGAGGAGAAGCTAAAAAAGAGACCCGTGAGCACAGTGGCAGCGAAAAGTAATTGCAGCACATAATAATCTCGCATTTAATAATCCTCATTAAAGCGCAAAATCACGTCGGTCCGCTGGAGAAGAACAAGAAGCGACGGTCGCTCTTGCCTGATGGACAGTTTACACTAACAAATATCACCGCCACCTTGACGAAAGGTTGGGGGGGGAGGGCAACAAGAAGTCTCGGATCTGGACAAAATTAGAGGCCCAACATTGGATGTGCTTTTTTTTTTGGCTACCCTCTCGAAATTCCAGAACAAGCTGAGGGCTTCTGTTTCGGAACCCGAAAATATGTACAGGGCCCCCAAAAAAGGGAGGATCTGGAAGATGAGGACAGGGCAGGGATGAGAACGGAGATGGGGATGCGGACAGAGAGGAGGAAGCGATGCGCATCAATCGATGATATGATGAGCTGACGTTTCGGGTTGACGTTTGCTTGTCGTCAATACGTCGCCTAATAACACGTCGCAACAGGTAGTCCCCGAACATCAAGCGATCGGACGGACAGTTGGGGATTCTGATTGCGACACAGATACAGATACATCGGAGATGGAGATGGAGATGGAGATGGGGCAGGAGATGGAGATGGAGATGGAGCTGCTGGCCAAGAAAGGAGTCTCTCTTTTTCGGGGCTTGATGGAATTTCATCAATTGCATGAAAAATATGAAATTAGTTTGGGCCGCCGCTGCCCGGCGAGAAAGGCTACTAAAAACTCCGTTCCCTGGCTACTGGATTTTTAATGTGTTTTAATCATCGACAGCAGATCCGACTGGCTGCTGGTGCGCCTCCTCCTTTTGGCTGGCTAAATTGTTTTTGCTCCTCTGATCCTGGGGACTGATGTATGGCACATTCCACTTGGGCTATAAATCGTGGTTGCGCCTGGCACCATGGCGCTGTCTTCTCCTTGTCCTTGTCCTTGGCCAAATATCATTTGATTCCTCTGCCAGGCATTAATTGTTTTAGCTCCAAGTGCTTCGTGATGGGAATGACTGATCGAGTGAGGGTTAGGGATTGGGATAGGGATCGAGGGATCTGACTGATCGCCGGTGAGAATGAGGTGAAAATTCTTCCATTTCGGTGGGAATTTCGGATAAGCTCTTCTATCTGTTGCCTCTTGTCAACGGTCTTGTTCTTGTCATGTTCTCTGTCAGTTTGCTTAGCCAACAACACGCAATCGGCCTGAAAGTGTTGATCAGTTCGGCAGCAAGCACTGATCGGGGATCTCTTTTCTGGGATCTTAATCGTCACACAACTGAGACCTCATGACTATGTGTTTATGCACTCGAAGAAATTGCTTGAAAACTATGCCTTAAGTTGAAAGAAATCTATCAAGCGAGTAATAAAATCAATAAGAAATATTCTTTCCATAATGAGTCATCTAACATCTTAACTGGTTATTGCCTTCCAGAAAGTATCTTTTTACCATCTACCAACTAACTTCTATACTTTCCTTTCCTTTAAGTGCAGCCACACATTGACATTCCCCACCGTCTGAGATTATAGTATGTCCGACTGGTCTGTCTTCTTTTTTGCTTATCGGGAGGAGCCTCCGATCTGCTAGCTGCGAGCTCCGAGACATTACCATTTCCATTGGCCGAGACTCAGACTTTTTTCTGGCCGTACGATTGGGTGTTTGGCAGCGTTTTTATGCCGTTTGCAGGGGCCGGGCCCCTGTTATTAATTATCATCGTCAGCGGGAGGCGATCAGCGATCAGCGGGCCAGAGATTCGTGTTCGTAAATTCCCTGGCGAGCGGGAACTTGGCGAGCAGGAGAATGCGATCATTTGGAATTCGGCGCGTAGAAATATCATTTTCGTGATTTCTCTGTCTCTTCAGTTTTCGCTTTTCGTAATTTGTATGAGATTTTTGGAATATTCTCTGAGTTTGGCCATTTATGTGTGTCCCTGCTGTCTGCTGCTCGCTGCTCACTGCTCGCTGCCCGCATGCCTTGTGTCCTTAACGAAATTGTGATTAAGTGTTTCAATATCGAAGTGACGAAAGGCAGCAGATCGACCATCCATCCACATCCACATCCACATCCAGACATGGCAGACATGGCCAACTTGCATCCCAACGATGGCGAACATCGTTGCGACGTGCAAAATAATTAAAAATCAGCGAACGTTTTTCGCGAAAGAGCAGTAGTAGTGCCTTGGGCTCCCTT